CGGAACGGCATTTTCATGTTGAACAAACACCGGTTTATTTGCTGCTGCCTCTTTTTTTGCGCTTTGCAATTCATTAAATAAACGATTGCACTCATTTAATAGTTCGTGTTTATTGAAATATTTCAATGCTTCAATTACCATTTTGTGGAAAAACTCATTATACTCACACGTAGTTTCATTAGTCATTCGACTTTTAATGAAGCGATTATATATACTCATTATTACACATAATATTTTGGCATCATCGGTTATGTTATCGGAAAATTTTTCGATTTTATCACAATCTAGAAACCAACCTCCAATATTTTTTTTTATCCAAACAAAATTGGCACGATTATCTATGTCATAGATGGTTTTGATGACTTTTGTAAGATAGACATAGTATTCATTGAGTTTTTCATAGTATTGTTCGAGTTTATTTAAGTAAATAGCATAAGCGTTTTTATCCATTTTATTTTATTTATGTGGTTATTATAGAACCAATTATGATTCCCCAAAAAATAAAGGGTTTGTCAGCCTGTTGTATAATCAATTTTTTATATATATATACTAGTTTTGCAATATTATAATTCGCTCTATTAAAAAACGTTAACAGTGTAATCAAATTATTTCGACAAATTTGTTTTTGTTTGTTTTTTGAAGATCACAAATGCCAAAATCTGGCAAATACGCTTTTTTGCCAAACTCCCGGCCTAACACTTGGCAAAAAATTAACTTTATTTTTTATTAATATTATTTAACATTACATAATAAAAAAACAACAACAAAATGGAACTAATATATAATTACAGTTATGGATCAGAAAGTGTTCCTGGTGCAAATATTACCATATTAATATGAAGAGGAATAAGAAGAAAATAAATATTTAATTGTTGTTAAACATAAAATTAAAATAAAAGCCATGTGCAATTCGCGACCAGAAACATTATTTACTATAGAGGAGTAGGTCGAAGATCATGAATAGTCCGGACATATTTGATTTGTCCATCAAATTATTATATATAGGGTGGAAGATAAGATAAGACAGCATTAATTATTGTCTAAATACGTTCTTTTTTTATTTAATTAATCTAAAACGAAACGACTTTTTTTGACGTTTTAGCATGATTTTATAAGACGTTTTAACATTAATGCTCTAATAAGGTGCGCAATCGCAGGACTAAATCGGGTCTATTAGAACTGTTTATTAACATTTTTATCACATAGTAACGCTGATCTAGTGATTTTTTATATTTATTAAAAATAGATAATGCATTTTCACAAACATAACCCATGTTCATGTCCATTTTTGACTAAAATATTCTAATACAGAATATTGTTAATTTGTAAAAGAACATGTCACGAAATTTAATAAAAATCCTATTTTAATATTTTGGAAATATAACAACAAAAATTGTGTTTTAATAAAAATAAAAAAAGTTGCATATTGCCATTAAAATAGTGTTTGAAAACGTTATTATGGTTTTATGATATAACACATGTCGGGTATCTTGCCAGTCTATCCCAATCATCAAATTTTGAAAGGGATTTTTCGGATATGGTTGCTGCTTTTATTTTTTCCATAAAACTTCTTTCATCCCCGTCTAGTTTAATTTCCTTGTTTATTTTTTCTATTATTGCCCCTATTTTTTCTTGGCACTTTACTAAATCTTTGACAATACAACACAACACAACACAATGTGGCAATCAGTTAAACAAATAGCATTAAAGAGCATAATAAGATAACATAATAATATTAAATAATTGTTTATAAAATATATAGTAATATGGCAACTAAAAATAAGTCTAATAACTCACATAATTTAACTAGTATTCAAAAAACCGTAACTGAAAATCCCCCTTTAATTCGTATTAATAAAATAGAGTATTATTGCGCATCAGATCTTCAGAAACACGATCCGGTATTTTTTTACGGATGTGCTAAAACTGTTAGGAAGATTATTGATCTAAAAGAAATCCCCAAAGACATGTATTTATATGCTACTCACAATATAAAAACCGGATGGAATGCCGTAAAAAACCAAGACAACCCACCTGTAAAAGCAAAATTGTTATTAGTAAAAGAATGGGTTGAAAATAACATGAAAAAAAACAATAATAACAATGTCAAAAAAGTAAACTATGAAAAAGCACCAAATACTCTAGTTTTGTCTACACAAGAGAAATTTAAGGACGAGGATTGTAATGTACTTGAAATTGAAACATGTGGTGATAGAACACCAAAAGGAATATATTTTTTGGTATCAGATGTGTCAAAAGTATTTAAAATGCCTAATTTGGTTCGTATTTTAATAAATCCCGACAGTGGATATGTTAGAGACGTCCATTACAAATATTTTATTCGGACGTCGTACAGGTCACCTGAAGTGCAGTCAAATAAACGGCGAATATATGCCACGTATAAGGGAATGCTTAAAATATTATTTAGTAGTAAAAGTGAATCAGCCGACAGATTTACAGATTGGGCAACCGACATGCTGTTCACAGTTCATATGGGGACAACAGAACAAAAAGACAGATTGGCCTTTGATATTGCGGGAATTACTGTTGACGATGTAACAAGATTTTTGTATTGTAGCTCAACACCCGAATCATGTATATATCGGTTTACACTAGGGAAAGCTAAAGATCTAAGGAGTTCAATGAATATTCCAATTAATGTTAAAGACGATTATATTGTTGTTAAATATGGATATACGGATAATTTAAGAAGAAGGGCAATGGAACATAGAAATAATTACGAAAAAATCGAAGGATGTAAAATAAAACTGCTAGGATATGCCCATATTGACACGAAATTCTTATCTGAAGCTGAAATGTTAATTAAGTCTGAGTTTAAGGCAAATACAACACAACTATTTTATGAAAAGAACGAGGAATTATTTACTTACGATCCGTCATATGAAAGGGAGGTTGACAAGTTATTTGCGGAAATTTCCTCAAAATACAACGGCTGTGTTAAAGACATAAATGAACAATTGGTTACATTAAGACATAAAATAGAACTACAAGAAGCTACTCACAAAAACGAAATATACGAGTTAGAAAAAAAAATAATGATATTGAAATACGACAATAATATAAAAAAAGTAATTAAGTAATAATATATAAAAATACTAATGAGTCTTAGTCTTGTTCCTGATCTAGACGACATAACTATTGACGACATAATAAATAGCTTTAAAAAACAAAAAGAAACATTTGATTTAAAAAAATTAGACGAGTTTTTTCACGAAATGTTTCCCGAAAAACTCTCAAAATATGCGTTGGTTAATCCATATGATGTATATTCAGTTATCACAAAAGGTACAACGATCCGTTACATTAAAAAAAACACAAATAAAATAAGTTGTGCGTCATCTGTTTTATCAGTTGTACATAAAAACAAAGACGTTGTGGATTATTTCGTCGTGACACAGGCAGTTGCAAGGGATTCGATATGGAAAATATGTCCTTCAAACCATTATATATTTCAGTATGTATTTCATATTTCCGATAATAGAAATATCGTTAAGATGCGCAACATTATTAATAAAGAAAATAAAAACGGAAAATTTATGGCTATGACAAGTAAAGAAAAACACGCAATTTATAAAAAGCTAGGAATGACTGATAAAGAAATTCTTTTTGAGGAGTATTCATCAAAAATGGCCAATCAAATAATAGAACCAAAATCATATACTAAAAAAAAAATAACAAAAGAGAATTGTTTTGAAATTACAGATAAAATCATATCTACTTATGAAGAAACCAATAAAAAAAAAGACATTAGAAAAAACAATGTATAAATGCGGATTTTTATGTTTACACATTTAATGAATTAAAATAAGACCAAATTGACATGATAAAAATAGTGTTGTGTAAGCATGACTGGTTAAAATAAAAACTCATATAAAAAGGGTTTGAATGACTGAAACAATACAATATAATACACAAGCCAACATGTTTTATTTGACGATACAACATTAGCAAAATTCGCTTTTTTATAAAACGTAACCCTTGTCAAAAATAATGGCAAACAATTATATTGTCATATTTTCGAAAATAATTTGACATTGATAGACTAATACAATCAATACGATCAATTAGAATTATTTAGTTTCTTTTTTAATTGTAGTAAATCATATTGAAGTTTTTTATTTAGTTCTGTAACTTGTGTTATTTTATCTGTTAATGTTTTGATTTGTCCTTCATAATTTTTTCTGACAAGTTCAAAACGTTCCGCAAAGATTATGTGTTTATTTAATTGGACTGACCAACTTTTCCTGTTTTCTGCAATAACAAGAAAAACAGGGGCTTTGTTAACTATAATAACACCGCCCATTTTTAATTTAAACTTGTTGTCCCTTAAAACCTCAATGTACTTAATTCTGGTTCCAATAGGAAGATCAATAATATTTTCCGATTTTATCCTCACATAGAATCGCAATTTATCCTTAATTTCATCAGGGTCAGTAAAAATTGATGCCGGGTTATAAGTGTCATTTACGGCATTTGTAAGTTTTTCAGTTGAATATAACGGATTTAACGATTTTTTTATTGTTTGATTCAAAACGGGTTTTTTGTCAATTGTGACTATTTTTATATTTTTTTGTTTGTCATCTGTATTATATTTAACAGAATTGGCTTTTTTGATTTTTATCGTACTATCAGCATTATATATAGAACAACATGAGCTAGTTTTTATAGAACTACTGTTATCTGTATCTAAACTGCTTATGTCGTCCTGGTTATTTACATTGTCCTGGCCATTTATATATATGTTTCTTGAATTTTTGGAATAATTATTTTTTGCCACTTTTTTAATTTGTTTCTTTTGTCTCGGTTTATCGATCGTAACTATTTTTACTTTTTTGCAATCTGGTTTAGATGACATAATATATAATATTATTACGAGTAACAGTTATTAACTTATTTATTATATATTACTTTTTCACTGAAAAACGAGATATCCAATAAAAAAAATATAATAAACAATTACTAATAATGTCTGCATTTTTTTAGTTCTCCATACCACTCTTACTCCCACTCTCACTCTTACTCCCACTCTCACTCTTACTCTTACTCTCATTCTCACTCTTGCTCCCACTCTCACTCTTACTCTCACTCTCACTCTCACTCTCGCCAAGACATGTTGTTTCAAATATTGCTGAAGTGACAAGATACGGATCCGCATTTGACACGGGTCTTCTGTTTTTAATATTATAATTTTCGGCTGTTCTTTCAAGAATGAATCTTGATAACCACAATTGATCTGCAGCGTCAATACCTTCAACTGGTCCGAATTGGTACCCCCATTGACCTGGAGCGACTTCGGCATTAGTACCACTAACGTGTGTAGTAAGACCGGCATTCAACGTATTATTTAACGCTTTATCAATGAAATGTCTACTATAAGCATTTTCGGCACCAACACTACAATAGTACTGACCTTGCTGGATTGGAGCATTATAAATCTCGTGTTTTGTTTATGATACTGTTAATAAAAAACATTTTTAAAATCGCCCTTCTCGTATCATATCATATCATATCATATCATATCATATTATGTTATAATATAACTCGTAAAATGGTTAATTTGAGTTATTTTTAATAAAATTAATGGATTTGTTTTAACGGGATTTTTGAGATCGCGCTAAATTTATATTTGTATAAAAGTTTGCAACCAATATTGATAACAAAAGCCTTGGCAAAAATCCCGAAAGGGACAAGTGAGGGGCTCGCATATAAAACTCCCAACATAAAACACACTTTTTGTGTAAATTCATCGTTACCAAAACCAACACAATATCCCATAATTATTGGCGCTAAAAAGGTAATACAACCGGTTATTCCCGATATTTTTGCAATAAATCCAGATACCCTAATTGCCCTCGATATTGTGTCCAATGTTTGGATTTGTTTTAATTGATTTGTTAGAAGTTGTCTATTGGATCTACTGATGTCCATATTGTTTTCATTTTCAAACTCCTTTATAATACGGAGAGTATTGGCATTTTTTAAACCCATGAGGATTATGTGGTCAATATTAAGCATCTTGTTTTCGAATTGGGACTTTAATTCTGTGGCGGAATTTTTAATTGATATATAGTCATTCGTATGATATTTATTATTGAATTTTTCTCCGATTTTTTCAACAAGATTATTTAAATTTAATGAAAGCAAATGTACGTACTCTAAATGTTTTATGTATGACATATGTGGTTTAACATAACAGAACAGAAAACGTGCCATTTCAAATTAATAACAAATTTTATAAATATATTGTAATATGATTAATATTACAATTTTTTGGAGGTATTTGAATAATCGCGTATTTTTGTCGAACCAATAATTTAATACATTTTCTAAAAAAATTATATAGTATAAATACTATGGAAAACATCACGGCAATACTCATATATTCGTTTTTGGCAATTACTGTTTACCTTTTGTGTTTTACGTATCCGGCAACAGATTGCCAATCTAAAAACGGCCATTATAAAGAAAATTTTTTTGGAGGCAACTTGTATCCATATACTTATCCGTATTACTATTATCACCCATATTACTATTCTGGATGCAACGAAAATGTTTTTGGAGACATCAAGTGTTTTCCATTTTATAATCGTTATGTTATTTTTAATACAATGGATCAGTAAGTATAATTGTTAATAAAGAAAAATAAATAAACATCTATATTACTATTACCAGGTATAATTATAATATAATGGAAGACTTGTATTTAGTTTTAGGACTTCTGCTCTTGGCAGTAATAATGCTAATATATGATTTTAAGTCAGGAGCATTTTCTTCGGAAAATTTTAATGTCAATGTAAATAATCGCAATCACAATTACAGGCATCATCACTACGGACGACACAATCGACATGGTCGATACGGTCGATATAATTATTATTACCCAAACTACCCAAACTATTACAATTACAATTATGATTATTATGACTATCCATACTATTTATATTATTCATACTATCCATGGAACTTATTTAGTTCGTGGTGGTGGTAAATATTATAACATATTTGAACAGTTTTACCGATTTATAGTTTTTTTGGTAATTTATATGAATTTATTTCAATATTAAATATAAAAAACACGTACCGACAATATAACATAACATCTTTTACCTAATACATATGTTTATGGAAATCGAATATTTGGGGAAATTAAAATATTTTGTTATTTTTACCTCTCCCTAAAAACGCTGCGGTGTCAATCACTGTTTGAATAAATGGTGATGGTGGTGGCACAACAGTTTTAAAAAATCCACCTTGTTTTTGCATTCCACCTCCGATATATTGAGGTGGAATGTGTTAATAGTTTTAGCATATCCGCCCGAAGTAAGATAGGGTAAGGTAAGGTCCTTGTGTAATATTAATAATATAATTAAAAATGCAAATAGGGTTGTTGTTTTTATTTTATAGGAGTTTATACATCTTAAATTTTTCTGACATATCATTACTCGGATAAAACCCCACAACAGTCAGACTTCCTGGTTTAATCTGAGTCACCCCTTGATCAATAATATAACGGCGTTTTTTCTCTGTGCCGATAAAATTAATAAGATCTTTCTCCTGAGCCCTAAGAACGATTTTTGCGAACTTATCGTCTTTAGTCCATAATTTATATTTTTTATAATCTTCCAAACTTTCTTTGGATGGATTTACAAACGCATTGGTTAAAATTTCTTCTGTAATTACTCCAACTACATGGCCTACTTGTGCACTAATCTTGCCTTTACTCATACGAAGGTCGTTATTTACCAAAATATACATAACGTATTTTGACGAAGGTTCGTTAGTTTTTGCTAAATCAAAAGCAGACATTGTTTATGTTTAACAAAAAGTTTGTTGAATAGTATTTAGTAATCATGCAATTAGCCACTCATATGTTCAATTTTTAGGCGCATTGCTAAGAATAAGATAAGATAAGATAAGATAATATACAAATTTTATAAAAAAGAGTATGTGCTCCATTCTTTGTAAATAATTACAAAAAATGGAACACAATAAAAAAATAAACCAAATTTTTTAAAATACGATTTTAATTTAATCTTGAGTAATTTAAACATGTTTCAATAGCTTTAATTATTTTTCTTTTTTCCATAGCGTCCACACCATCCACACCATTCATACCATTCATCGCATCAACCAAATGATCGTGCCATAAAATAATCGCCGAACAAAATTTGGTTATATAATCGCTGGGACTGATGTCATAAAGTCTATTACATATATTTAAAAAACGGTTTAAATTTAATTTAAATCGTTTTCTGGAAATGGGCACGAGTTGTCATTTTTAATCAAATAATTATATAAATTTTCATTATCCATCGATAAATAATGTGCAATTGTATTATAATGTTGTTGAAGCAAGTGCCCAAAATATAAAAATAATTTTTTGTTGAAAATGACATTTGGCATTTTTAGTAAATGAATCTGTTATGTCATTTATTTTATAATGGAATAACAAACAACTCAAAATTTCAAAATTATGCCCAAGTTTACCTGGAATCGTATTATTAGAATTACTAAAAACATTGGCTATAATATAAATCATGTTTGGTTATCTATATATATCCATTATTTAGGTAAAAACTACTAATATTATAAAAATTTGGAATTTCAAACATATTTAAATGCTTTTTTTTATTTTTCGGTAATTTGCGATCATGCAAAAATTAGATTTAGAATGTAAGCTTGTGGATTATGACGACGTCGAAATTGGGAATGTCATTGATTAAAGTAATTATGTCAATAAAAATGGACCAAAAAATTTGGATTACGTATTTACCAGAGACAATGACACCGGTTTTTTCAATCGATATTTGTTATGTCCAGTGTCATCTCAATAGATGAACAATCAAAGTAGACGCGAAGTTTTTAAAGTGATATGTGATGACATAATATATGTTAGTAAATACATTAAAAAAATAGATTTGACGACAATACAAAAATAATTGTCAGCATATTAAATGATTTTTTAATTGGAATCAACAACATTAAAGACACATACAATGACGAAGAAAGTCAAAATACAATTGCCATAATTATGGAAAGCATATCGTCCATTAAAAATTTTTGTAAGGTGGATAATTTGAGTCTAGACATTTGCGAAACAAATTTAGTTTAGTTTGATTATGAAACATGTTTTATACAAAACATATTTTATTGGAGACGATTTTATTTTGAATTAGTCTAACTGTGAAACAAATTTTATACGAAACATATTTTATTTATAGGAGACAATTTTGAGTTGGATCAGTTTAATTATGGAACAATTTTATTATGAAACATGTTTTACAGGAGACAGTTTTAACACAAAACATTTTTATTTTGAATCAGTTTAATTGTGAAACAACATTAATATGAACCAGTTTAATTTAATCACAAAACGGTTTTAATACAAATCAGTTTGACCATGAAACAAAAATAATATGAATTGGTTTAATTATGAAACGATTTTAATACAAATCAGTTCGACCGTGAAAAAAATAACGCAAAATGACAGAATACAATAAGAATACAAAAGACCGGTGTTATCATTTGTCATTGACGTAATTATTGAAATAATAAATTAAAATTGCCCAATATCTATTGTATATGTATAATACATATAAAAAATTGATCATATATGATGAAATGTCACTTACTAACAAACTAAATAAAAAAATACCGGTAGAATCTAAATATGCCGAAATAATTCCCGCAATGAGTCTAAAAACGAGTAAAAAAAAAAACTCAAATTCTAAAAGTATTAAATATGCCAAAGAGTCTGACGACAGTATAAATTTGGACCAAGAAAGTGTTATTTCAATGTCTTCAAAGTCTGACACAGAATATTCCGACAACAGTGATACTTTAAAGACAAAAAAGACAAAAAAGACAAAAAAAACAAAAAAAATAAAAAAAACACCAGACCTATTATGTCAAATATCGACAATCGGTTCGTTTAAGTTCATATTAGGTACAAATAGGGATGTTCCAAACAATAACAAAAAAACGTCATTTTCCTCAGAAGACGATGATCACATTATCAAACAAAAAAATGAGATGTTATCCCACATGGATAAAATTGTCGAAAAGATAAAGCAGATTAGTTGGGGTGATACAATGAGTTTTTCAATAGACCCCAACTTTGTTATTACAAAAACTTTGTTATTAAAAGTTTTGAAGTATATTAAAGAACAATGTTGTAAAAAAATTATTTATTTTGAAATAAAATTAAAATACAATGTTAAATTTATTTTTTTTTCTTGTGTTTTATAATATTTTGTTTTTTTTAATAAAAGTTTTTTCTTTCCTTTACAAGTATCGCATACTAGTTTATTTGTTTTTATCTTGAATTTTGCATAAGTTGGTTTATGTAGAAGCCAAACTTCATTGTTAAAAACGGTACTCGTACATTCTTTCAAGTAATTTAACGATTTCGGATCTTCTAAATTAACAATATATAATAATCCGTTTCCAGCACACGAGTCGCAATTTTCTTCTATAACTTTTTCATTAATTTTCCATAAAGCTGCTTTCTGTATACTTGTTGACATTTTATTATAATAAATTTTGAACAAAGCGAGTTTTTATTTCTTTTTTTGTCATGACATCATCTTGAGGCACGTCAATAAAATTATTTATATCTTTGAATCTTCTGTAATTAAAAAAATATGAATCGTTCATATTTTCATATTGTTTTAAAGCAAGGTTTTCTTCGTTCATAACATCTCTAATAGCATTGATATCTTAAATAGATATTTTATCCCATTGACATTCATTGTTAGTTCTTAATAATCTAGCATCGTTTAAAAAGCTTCTAATTTTGTTATTGGTCATGACTTCATTTTTAAAAATATCATTTTCTATAGGAATTTTCATTGTTTTCATTGTTACATTATTACGTACCAGACTCTCAGTTTTTCTTAAATAAAGATGAAGTTTCATGTCTTTTTCAAAAAGTTGTTTAGCAGTATCATCCAAGTGTTTAAATAATTTACTTCTAACAAAGTGAAAAAATGGAAGCAAATTTATTTGAGCTAGTTCGGAAGCATGAAGAGATGAAACTTCATAGAAGTGATAGTTCAATAATCTGCACAACAAAGGTAAATAAATTTGACCGTTAATAAGATAGTTTGGTAACAAGGATATAAAATAAGCGGCAAAAGCTCCGCACAAACTACTGTTTTCCCATTGAAAACAAGTTTTGTTATAAGAAAACAAAAGAGTTTGTTGACCTGTCATTGAACTATATTTTAATACAAATTTTGTAAACCAATAAAATTCATGATTATCAGCTGTCCATTCGTAAGGAAAGTGTTTAGTTTGTCGTATGTAAGAACTTATTTCAATTTCATTATAATTAATGTTTAAAGTGTTTATTTGTATGTTAGTTTGTATTTCTTCTACAGATTCAAACAAATGTCTATTACTTCTTAAAAAAGGTGGAATTTGTTTTAAACAGCTTTCAGTACCTAAACTGTCAAAACAAAAAAAATGATTATTGTCTAATTTGAGTAAAAGTCTCCAATGTTCTCCATTTTCTTTACTAGTTTCGTTATTATACATAAAAAAAGAGCCGTTTTTTACCATTCGTTTAATAATGTTTACGTGTGTTTGGGTTTGACTCAATTCGTCAAAAGCGTAAACACCTATAAAATAATCTTTCAAAAAGGGTTCATTATTAAAATAACTAGACAAAGATTCGTTAGTACACATTTTATTCTTCTTTTTCTAAACTAAAAAAACTTGAAATAAATAATGTTACAATAGCGTGTAAAATGTTAACAAATAATGTTTTTTTATTAGATGTGCCGTCTTTTATGATTCCTTCAATGTTTCTTTTAACAGATTTCTTTTTTAAAACTCCATCTAGTTTTTCTATGATGGTTGAAGCGGTAGGTAATATTTTTGCTGTAAAAATATCGACGAATCCGTCTGTTTGATCACCTTCAAATGGAACAACAGGTTTAACATCTCTTTCGAGTAAAAAAACTTTTAGTTTAGATTTGTAATAGTCGGCTATAACATTTTCGTCAAGATGATCTTTTTTCATATTGTCAAATTTGATCAAGTGAAATTGACATAGTTGCGGTTGGTCGAGTAAATTTTTAAATTTACTGTTTTTAAAACATTTTTCAATAGAATAAGAATTTAATGTAATTCTTTTTGAATTTAAAATGTTTTCAAGAAAATCATTTGAAGATGTGTCTTTATAATGTTCCTCGTCTATAACTAGAGATGAAGGTGAAGAGTTTCCAGAATTGTTTTCTTGTGATTGATACCTTTTAGCTATTTCATCTAATGCGCAAACAGCGCAATTATTATGAATTTTTTTAATGATACTGTCAACTCGATTCATTTTTAATTATAAAAATTTTTTTTTAAAAATTAGTTATTTTTTTTGTTTTTTATACATGTTTTAAAATTTTTAAAAAAGAATACGTTTTATTTTTATTAAAAAATATTGTTATTTTTTTTAGATTTGGTTGTTAGATACCGAGTATATTCATAATGAATCTACAAAAGATCATTTTTGGGGAAAAAATTGTATAAGAGAAATTTGTTTAAGAGCTTTAAACGAAGATTTTTGCTTACATCTACAAGTCTGGCCTTGTACTCCTTATAAAAACTTGGTAGAAAAACATCAAAAAGCTTTCGATCATTGTAAAAATTATATTCATGGTTTACCATATAATCCTAGTTTCTTGGTTAACTCTAGTAGTATTTTTTGCACAGATGTATACTATCATTTGGAATCTTATTTTAAAAAATATCCAATAAATTTAATATTCTATAAAGGTGGCAATATGGAAGTTTTAATTTTGAAATGTTTT